GCGTCCGTGCCGTTAGCAGGTGTATTAAAAAGCAGAATGGAAGATATAGACCCCAGGATCAAACCCTCCAGGTTGGTTGGATACTAGATTGCAAAACCTTCTCCGCAGGCACAACTGGGGGGTCAGGAAATGCTCGAAGATGCAAATTTCTTTTTATCAGCCAAGTAAAAGAATGCTCTCTAAGACTAAGTGCACTGAGTGCTCGAGATAAAAAATATCTTTTTACTCTGGCAAAGCATCATTTGTGCATCACTGTACACTGTTTGTCATTAACGTTGAGAAGCTGAATGGTGGTATCTGGTTACTTGTAGGAATTAATTCAGGTGACTGAAAAAAAAACAAATGATCACTGTGGAGTAGGTGGTACTAGTACATTTACTGCATTTTGAGTTTTTACTTTATTGTATTATTTATTAATAAGATATTATCGTATTTGGTTACAATATTTACATAAGTGTAACAGAAAACCAATATAGCAGAGCTGTTTGTCTTCCCTTCACAGGGAATTGCGTTCGGATTTGGGGAGAAGCCACAGGAACCTGGTCCCTTTTGCTCTTTAACTGCTTCTCCAAGCAGTTAAGGCCACTGTAACAAAACAACTTTCTTCTCTGACACAGATCCACATGTGATACAGATTTTGGCGCACTTCCTATATGCAGATGATAAACCTTTCCGTTTTACGTATTCCTCAGGCAGCTCTTGCCTTCTCGAGCTTTCGCTTCTGGCAGAAGGTACAGAATCCCCAAATGCAAATTGAACCATTTTAAATGACGCTCGTTTCTACCGCCACGCCTCCATCAACATTGTTAAATATATCGTGCGTAACTGAATGCCTGGGAAGTGCTGTCAATTACTTTGGTTGTTCGTGCTGTGTTTTGGTTGTTTGGTTATTGTAAGTGTTAATCTTATATTGGATTGCGTTGCATGGGTATGAGGTGTGTATTTAGCTACAGGTATGTCTCTTAGGGCTGCTATATGGTATTAGTCATCTGGTGTTATTTATTGTCCTGTAGGGGCAGCTGTCTGGACTACTGCAACTGACCGCACTTCTGGAGTCAATGAGCAAATTGCCCCGTATGGGGATCACATAAGATGATATTCTGATCATTCGTATTTTTCTCTGGGAATTCCCCATACCATACAGCTGACTGTAATATATGATTACCAGGAATGATTTCTTCACACTTGTTCAGGAAAATAACTAATAAAAAAGGTTGTCAATTAAATAATGTCCTTGGCGGTTTCACAGTGTTGGTAAGATAAAATTACCAAAAAGAAGCATCATCACAAAGCAGTAAGACTAAGAAACAAATCAGATTTCCCATTGCACAGCGCTCAAGCATTACAGGAACCACAGAGGGACAAGTTGTCACATGTTGTCACATAAAATAGACTGTTGTCCTGGTTCCACAATAGACCTTTTTCACAGCAGCCATTTTGACAAGAAATAGTAGGGTAAACACAGGTGTTATCAATGATACTAATGAAGATTCCGTTCCATTCAGGTCAGACATAGTCAGGGTGCATGTTGCTCTGCTACATGCAATGGAACTGAATTAATGGTAATGCACCCTTCGGAATGTGGCTTTACTAGTCCCTCCAGGATTTTGCTGGCTTTTTTTAGGGATTGTTGCAGCTCCAAAAACCTCCAGCTTGCCCCTCTCTCTCTTTATCTCTGCCTCTTCATGCACTACTGAACTCATGTCAATATTGTGGGAACACGTCTGATCCCAGCTCTGCCCTTAGGGGTATTGCTCACCTCTTCCACAGTACTACAGGAATGCACATGCAAAATCTGAAACTAGGGACATGAAAAACAAACCGTTTTCTTAGGTTCTGAATAGTTTTTATAGCTATGTGTTCATATTGTATGGGAAAGATATAAAGACAAAGGCCCCTACAGACAGCAATGTCCATAATACTTACAACACACACAAAACACAATACAAAAACTTTAATAAATATCCTGATATATCGCTGTGAACCAGAGGACTGCCACCAGTAGGTCACACCACAATCAGTGCAAAACATTGACAGTATAAATAATGGACAGAGCTTTCAGGTCTGTGAAGTTAAGATGACGTGGAACGTGAATCTTAAATATGCATTCTATGTAATGGCCCGCAGGGGGCAGCTCCATTGGCTGTATTAGCTTAGTAAACATACAGCATGATGTTCATTTAGAAACTTATGGTTCCAATTAGAGGAAAATAGACGATAAAGCAGGGTATGCTTTAGGGCGGGGCTACCTTGTGATTGACAAGTCATTCTCAGTGAGTCCGTCCAGCTCAACACATCAAACTCAGTTCAAACTGTCAAACTAAGCAGTGCTGATGACATATGGATCAAGATTCTGTTGCTGTTGACTATTTCTCTCCTAAAATATTTTCACAAACCTATTTTAGCGTTTTAGACTCAAAACTGTGCAGCCAATGAGAGCAGTTCAATCTACGGTACAAACCAATGGTTGACATCACAATGGGCAAACACAACACATACATGTACAATGCATTTGATTTGACAGTCAAAAACATTTATAGATGCATGACAAATGCAGACATGGTCAACAGAAACTGACAGCCACCGGTGTCACCTATTATAAACTTATTCTGCTCAGTGACCAAACATTCCTGCAGAGTGACTCACAGTGAGTGTGTTACTGGTCAGGACAAAGAAGGCTGCCAGGGACCAGGACATACAGACAGCTCCAACCTGAACCACAGAAACTAAGACCTCTGGCACATAAACTATACTGCGGTTCATGTTACCAAAACCTCTTAGTGCACTGAATAAATGCAACCATTTAAGAAAGGTTGTATTATAGTCTTGGATATGTCAAACTAGCTTTACAAGAAAGGGGACTGCATTGTGTTGAGGTCAGTGGTGGAAAGTGGCCGAGTGTCTATACAGGAAGCGTAGGGTTAGGGTTAGTACCACTGTACTTGCACATTGCATATAGTGTATATATTTTTCATTTATAGTTTTATATTTTCTATTATATTTTGTAATATTCTTATTGTGATAAGATTGTATGTACACTGTACTTTTTTTACTTTTAGGTCCCTCTAGCTCCTTCTAGTGCTTCTAATGGTATTTGCAAGACTGGGACTGAGACAGATAGAAAGACGCTTTGGGATGGAGGCTTGAAGATAGTTCAGTCTCATTCCCAGGGTCCCAAAGCATCTGTTTTTGACACTGTGGGAATGAGACTCAATCAACTATCTTTCTTGGCTCTGATTGGTTGTTTTCATTCAGGCCCAGTGGATTCTTGCAAATGCCATTAGGAGCACTAGGAGGAGCCAAAGGGACCAGATT